ATACATACTAAAAATGTTGCTGAAAGTCTCTGAATTTATAAAGCAGCCTGGTAGACATGGTAGTGATTGTAACACTGCATTGTAGACACAAATGTTGAAGAAACTTGGCAAGAATCAACACGTTTAAGCTACTCAAAATTCAGATTTTCTCAGTCTTGTCCTTCTGATGAATGGAACATATGGGAGTATTGTTCATAAAACTTGCATTGCTTTTCTAGATGTCTACCAAAATTCCTCATCATGACAATATTTACCAAGATACATATAGATTCAAATTTGAATTAATTACCTAGAAGTTCTTCTGTACTCCCAGGTTTACTGGAAAAGAAAAACCCTGCAGAAGCAATGTGTTGTGAGTATTTAAAAGCCAATGTTATAGCAACAGAGGCAGTGGAGTGCTTGTCTGGGAAGGCAGCTATCCAGTTAAAGCCATCGATGCCGAGTGAAATAAAAGACAGGAAAGAAATTGAAGGCTTTGCCAAGAAGCAGTTTGAAATCTGACATTATAAACAAAACACGTGTAAATCTAGACATAAATCTTATCTTTGTATGCTGAAGGTTTCATAATGTTTTACCTAGCATTATTACTTACAAACATATCCTGAAATACTGCACTGCAAGTGGAGAAGAGCCTTTAACATTGTGTTCATCCACTCGAGAAGCACGTTATATATTATCCTTTATCCCTTAATTATGAGGACTTCACCTACTGCTCTCTGCTCATTTGAAATGCAGAACAAAATACAATGGATGTCTGAAGACTTAACAGGTGTCAACCAGATATTTGCCAGCTACTGCTACTATTCTACTGGGAAGAGTTGCTGTTCTATAAATACTAATTAGAGTTTTGCACATGATCTTGCTGAAATACCTAAGGTGATGAGTGGCCAGTTGTTACTTTTAAAAGATTAGCGCAATTTGAAAAACTAATGTCCCCAATGAGGCAATGCTCACACTGAATAATCAAGAGTTATAGCTGTTCTCTGCCCAAAGGGAATATTTGCTCACTTCATCATTTAGAAAATCTGCTGCCTCTCGAACAAGTCACTCTTCTATTTCACTTTGAGAAAGTTGTAAAACTTTGTGGAATCAATATAATGGTACAGTATACACACCTAAATGTTTTTACACTGCTATGCCCACATGGTAGACTTTGCAAATAGCTTGTAATGACGGAGTTTTTAGTGTGAAGTCATGATTAACCAACTGCAAACCAATGAGGYTGCATTCAAACAAAATCAGCAAATGAAAAATAAGATTACAATAGAGCATAGAAAAAAAAAATTTACATTCCTCAAATTCATCTTCCTGCAAACTTTTCCTCTCCACAAAAAAAAGCAGAATGATCCAGATGTGGTTGTTATGGGTTTTTTTTCCCCCACTGCTRGTTTTTTTCATATTTGTAGTAGCTGTTATCAAGAAAACACACTAAATTACTAAAATCTTGGTGAAATATTTCTGAAAGACCAGATAATTTAAAGCAAAAATGCTATATGACCACTTGCAGCACATTCAACTAGACTGAAATAATGTCTTGAGTTTAATCTTGTCCAATTTGCCATGAAATGCAGCTGATGTAACGTGATGTGACAATGTTGTATTTCTATACATAAGCTGGAGTTCATTGCAGTGAGATTGGACTGATGCAACTGACAACCCCGTAGCTTTCAGAGTCAATATAGCATGTCCCAGAAAAAACACAGAAAAAGGGAGTCTGAAATAAACCTACTTAGTTTTGGTTTGGCTCTGTCCCTATGGGATTCAAAAATAAAAACATTCAGTAGATTCTTTACTGTGAATGGAAAAACATATCATTTTAATCAGAATTTATGTTTCTGCTTTTTTTTCTTTTTTTTTAAAAAAAAACTTTACCATGAAAACTATTTTTTCTTATCCTTCAGCATCCTGCTTCCTCTTTTTAAGTAGCTCATTACTAGAAGTGTTTGGCCTTACTTCAAAAGAGAAGAATAATGTCAACACTGGAACATCTGTGTCCATATTGAGCACTTTGATGACAGTGATATACTCCATTTACATCAGGAACAGTGAACTGAATCTTGATGCTAACTGCATTTAAAGATCTTACTCTACAGGGCAAGAGAATACAGGTCAAAAATCTGTGTTTGACACGCTCCATACTTGAAGAGCACTCAACAGTGATTTGCTCCAGAATCAAGAATCAAACTCACAAAATGTTTCAAAGCTTGAAGCCATGTTCACATAACCGCACTGAAAACAAACATTGAAATTCACAATCTCTGGAGGTGAATCTACTTTTGATATAGAGGATTTTGCAACATATATGGTCAAACCCTACCCTGGAAATGAAATGGGAATTTTCTCATTTRAACCAGAAGGGCATTACTGAAATCTCTACAACTTTTATTAATAGAGGTAACATTCCTACACTTCTCAAGTGTGGAAAGGATAATAGACACTTTATTATCACAAAACTCAAATTCATCCATACAAAAAAAGGGAGCAGAATTATTGCGTGTGAGCATTGTTTTCAAACAGTGTGGCCAGGGGATGGTGAAATAATTTCAGTATGGATCACTYGCCTCTTGCAAGCACGCACAATAACAATGAATTCCTCAAATATTTGATACAAAGCATTTYAGAGATGAAGGACTGAGCCCCTTTACAAAATATTTGCAGAGCTTGGTTTCTGGTAGTCTTACTTCTCTTAAGTTGATTTTAAAAGCTTTTGTGTTGCTTCAACTTGATATAGTTTATACAGCCTTTTCCAACTCAATTACATTATATCTGCTAAACTGCTGTGATGGTTAAATATAAGGTGGAGAGTTCCTAGTGTTAAGTTTCATCCACAATTCTGAATCTTGAGTACACTCATGTAAACCTTAGCACTTTCACAGAATTGAGTGTATGGCTTACTACACAGTATTGCTTACTACACTAATGGTATTTATACAAAGCATCAAATGGGATCAAATTCATATGACTGGATGGTGACCTGTTCACATTCAAGGACCACAACTCACTGAATGCTGCATTAACAATTGCAAGTACTAGTAAATCCTGTTTTAGCAAACAGAAAAACAGAGAATAATTTTGTTTACATGTTTCACTAGAATACCATGGAAACAGATGCAGAGGTAATCACAAAAGGCATAATCCAAAAGGAAGACTGCTCTAATAAAAAGCATATATCAAAAAAAAAAAAAAAAAGTATATGTTTTCCCACTTGGAATTTACATATAACTCCTATTAAGAAAATTATATTGAATAGACCCCAATATCACTGAAGTCTCCAGTAATGCTATGAAATAATATGCATGCTCAAAGTACAACCTCAAACATGTTTTCATACACAGACTATTAGGAAAAAAAATCCCTAATAGAATAAGGGATTTATTGTTTAAAGAAAAAAAAATAGGACTAGGATTTCTCAAACAGGTTTAAAGTCTAGTAGTAACTCTGCATGAGGAAGCTGCTCAGAGCACCTGCTGCCTACACTGTGCCTGGCTCCAGGCAGTGCTATTCATTCCTCACTTTCATGGGAGCACAATATACCCCCTAAAAATATAAAACACAAAAATAAATAGATCTCCTGAGTAGTAGAAGAGAAACCTGTTACAAAAATAGTGAAAGATCCTACATATAGTAGAAAAGCCCATTTTGCATTGTTTATAAGATTTACACTTTAATTTGAAACCAAAAGGCATAAAATTTGTATGAAAGCAATGCCTGATTTATAGGTAAACTGAACACACAATATGCTTAGCTGCGAGTACCAGACTCCAGTGAGAGAAAGTAGACCTAAMAAACATGGCCCTGAAGTGCCCCCAAAAGATTTTTCTCAAGTTAAACAGTAAGCACAAGTAACATGACTTTTGCTACAAAAACACTACACAATGGATTTTTTTAATTAATTTTCAATGTTATTACATGCTCCTATTGAGCTGAGATTGACTCCATCCACTAACTGGATTTTAAGACAGCTCTTCTGCCCATACGATCTTAGCATCCACTTAAAAAACAAATAGCCATATTGGTTGTTCATATCCAGATCCAAAGAGGAAGCAATATGGTTGTTATAGCCTTATCACCATCAAAAATCTAACATTATGTGGGTGGAAATTTTGTGACAGCTGAAGTATTTAAGAATGATAAGTTAGTAAGACTCAGATAATGTGCAGATTGATCAAATGTATAATTAATTAGTGAATAAAGACTAGTGAGGTAAAGACTTAGAAGGCTACATTACTGTACACTTAAGGCATAACCTCACGATCTGTATTCAAACAAATTTAGCTAAAGGAAAATGATATATTTCTTTGGAGTCTTGCATACATTAGGACTCATTATATTCACATATTATTATTCACAGCAGACATTTCATTACATATTCCTTGAGAAATGTGCCATCTATGTGAACATTCATGCTAGTTTCATATGTGTATATTGTATACATTCTGCTGCCTACAGCCAAGTCATTTGGCATTCTGATGTCTCAGGCTCCATCTGTCCTAGTAGATCAAACAGACCAAAGACTGTTCATCACAAGGTCAGCTCTCATAGCACAGCTCACTTTCTCACCAAAACAGAGGGACCAACCTCTAGTTGCCTTTCGAAAGCAAGTCCTGCCCCAGTCCTGCACCTGTATCATTCCTGGGCATTGGCTAGTTGACATAGAACAAACCTGGGCTGAGGACTTCACGACGCTCAGATGAGGGAACAGGTCTTTGGCCCGCACTCTGACTGTTCAGCTTAGCCTTCTATCACAGTGCTTGAAACAAGACACTACAACATCCTGGCACAACAAGCAAGGCTGGAAAGGACTTCCACAGTTCCTCCTACCTCAAGGAGGACCTCATCTCACCACACTACAGTTACAGTTGCATATTAGTCCACTGTTACCAAAAAAAAAAAAAAAAAAACCAAATCACCTGAATGGCAAGGTTTGGCTACAGAAGTAATACCAGATAAAACACACTTTTTTCCTCCTGTTAAGCAAAGTCTTTGAAAGGATAACTTACCATTTTGGTCTACTTGTGGATTTCACCATTGGAGCCATCCCATCTCGATAGAGGCTTTTTGTTTTACTGAAGTTGACCACGTTGAATATCACCCTCTGAAAAAGAGCAAAGGAGAGAGCTCAGGCATAATTACAAAATAGCCTCCTTAGATCTCCAAACAGAAAGGCACTCTCAGTCTTTTGCAGTTAGTGACAAAGAGGGTGGTGGAAAACTGGGGGATAGAAAAGCAGGCCTTGTGGAACCCTGGCTGCTTCATGTCTTAGAGCTTTGTTCTTCTTTCTACCTGCTTAGGCCTCAGTCAAGGGTGGGAATGAATAAAGGCTTTCAATTTCCTTTCATCAAAGGAAAGAATATTTCTCTGCAGTCCTCTTGACGAAAGGGAGAATTTTCCTCTGCAAAAATTGTACAGTGTATTTGTACTAATACAGCACAAACTAACCACAGTTGTTTGAACTTGACAGGGAAGAAAAACACAAGTCTAATTCTGATCCTATTATACATCATTAACTTTGGGTAAGCTACAGTTGATACTTAACAGTTCAAAGGCAGCACAAGTTCTAGATCCTGATTGGTAATAGACTAGTTCGGAGAGTAAATTCCTTCTAGGGCAAAATATAAAACCAGGAAACATTCTATCTGCTGTAAGTCATATTTTATGCAAAAGTACTTATTCTGTTATTGACAAGAAAGTCTAAATTAGATCTAGTTCGTCTAATGCATTGTATTTACTTTTCATCTTTTAAAACCAATTTACATGGTATTCTTTTGATAGGCAATATACATAGAAACATTGAAATCTGAATAGTAAATTTATTTTGATGTGATGTTCCAGGATATATTAATACTTCCCATTTCTATTTTCTCTCTAAATTTCTTTTCTCCTGATACAAGTGAAGAGGTGCTGCTTAAAATGTGATTTATCCCTATGACACAATTATTTTTAGAACAAACTATTCTAATGCTTATACTCCTAAACAATAGTTAATGAAATGCATGAGTATTAAATGGCCAGTGTTTGAAATCAAACATTTTTGACTAAATCAGTAAGATTAATTATGCTTTCGTATGTAAAATCTAACAAAAACAAATCTGGACCTTCCAAGCAGTCTGTTCTGACAACAGTGAATTATAACATTAAAGCAAAAGCAATCAGCAGTGGGACATGGCCAACATGAGCTAGACACATCTACATTGATATAAGGCAGACAGAAATTGAGGTAAACCACGTAGCCCCAGTTAAACACATCTGTAATCAAGAAAAATGAAGGGAGGTTTTTCAAGGAGTGGCAGTGCTGAAGATTTTATAAATGGAAGCACAAGCTGCTACGTATGCAAACTCTGCAAATTAGTCAATATCTAAGAATAGCCAGTAAGTTTTTCCTGGAAGTGATTCAAAAAAACTAGCAAGTTGAAAATAACACAAAGCTGTTATTTTTTCTTAACCAATTATAATGATCAAACGACACAGTTATATTGATATATATATATGCATGAATTTTCCACATATTTTCTCTATTGTAATGTTCTGAGGTTTTTTTGTAATGATCATGATACAGGCTAATGATAAAGACTCACCATTTATCAAACCTCATACATGTCATTTTAAGATGCTRCTTATTTGATGCAATATCCTTCCTAGGAGCTCTCTAGTTATTTTTCTAGTTATTTCTCCTTATGTTTACAGTGTATGGTTCAAAGTTGAGTAATTACCTTTAGTTCTACACGTAAGTGAAAACATTTCATAACATATACGGAAGCATTTTCCTGTATTAGGATGCTGAGTTTTTCTCTGTTACTTAACTCAGTTCGTATTTGTGAAAACAAATTAAGTTGCAACAAATCTTGATGTTTGCATGGAGGGAATGAAACAAACAAGATCTCCAAACCAATTGCCTTAAACTTTGGATGCAATCATGCCACTGTTGGGGAGAGAAAGTTGCTAATTTTGTTACATACTGACTCAGAGCAGACAGCTGGCAGAGAATGTTCTTATTCCAATCAAGCTTATTTTGTATAATGAGTTGGGCAAATGTACACAACTGGGTAAGCAACGTATATAAAAACAAAAATATGCAGCTCATTTAACAAAACAGTGTGGATTATAACATTTCCACCACTCATGTTCACCACAGAGTAAGCAGTTAGCAAGGAGTGCAGTTCTCCCAGAATGATAGACACCAAGATTGGCAGCACCAAAAATTTAACAGCACAGAACAGAGCTTTATGAAAGTACACAGCTCAAGTAATAAAGTACACAAACTGAAGCACTTAAATAAATAGTGAAATGTAATCTCATATTCTTGGTGATAGTTATACTCTATGTAGCTCAGTCAGTGAAGTGTGCAGAAAGGTAATARCTATTAAATATCCGCCTTAACCAGAAAAATACCCAACTTGCTCAATAAGGTATGTAAACATCTTTAAACCAAATGTATTATAAAAGTTTGTGATACAGCAAGCAAACATTTGTTGAGCAGGATGATTAGCTATTGGTCTAATTTCTGTCTAATTTGATATTCTTTTACACACCTTTTCTGCTATGAAGAGCAAGACTAAATACGAACATTAGAATGCAGACCTTAAATGTTATTCTAAGTATTTTGAAGCTATCGTATTATTTTTATAATGCTAAAGCTATTTTTACAAATTACAGAGACTTATGATAGGTAGTATTTCATGAATAACATAAATTACATGTTCAAAACCAAGAAAAAGAAAGGTACTAGCRCTGGTTAAAAAGAAAAAGTGAAGTTAAGAAATTAAAACCAGATGAAATGTTCTTAGAAATTCCCTAGAGATTACTCTGATTCCCCAGAGCATCAATTCAGAGAAAAGTGACAGAAATCTTCATAATAAAAATGCTTCCATTTGTATTTAGTTGGGGGGCAGTAATACCTCTAAAAGAAGCAATATTATAGTTTTTTGATGCCACATCCATTAGAATTACATGATGTCTGCCCCTTTCAGCTATGATATATTTTCAGTTGACTACATGCTTATATTTTCCTAACAAAGAGATGGGTAGAACAGGCATATAAGAGAACTAGCTAGGTTCTAGGAAAGAGAGCTCCTCTTTCCATCAGGTGTGTCCTCAGGATGCATCTAGGGGTGCCCCTTGTTGCTGAGCTCAGTGAGACAGGAAAGTGGGGAGAGCCTTGGCTCTGCCTTCAGCCTTAAAATTTACTGCTCACTTTTATTTGCTTTCCCTGGCAGTCCTGTGCAAACTTACTTCAGGAATTAAAAAGATAAATTGTTGTTAAGGGAGGCTTAGTGGTTTCAGAATGAATGATATTAAAATAAAGCTTGAATACAAAGGGAAAGGATGGGCTAAACATGCCGTACATTTTACCTCATTGCCAGAGATTTGTTAACAGTCACCAGTCAGGGACTGGGAGAAACTGCTAAATTTTGGAGGGAGAATAGAACAAATGGTTATGTTTTTGGCCTGGAGCTGGAGGAATTTAGCGTGCTTGGTGAACAGGGACACATGGGACTCCATATTCTAACTCCCTATATCCACCGGTGAACTGCTGTGATTTTTAAAGGTTCACTCTAAGTCACCCACATTCTGGCAGGTTTCCCATCTGAACCTACCAACTGAGACAGATTCCTAACAGAAAAGTGACCCCTTTGCAAAAGGTTATGTGCCTTTTCCCAGCAGAGGGGCACCAGGTCCCTTCAGAAAGATTGCCAGGTTCATTTTGCATGGTTTTCCCTCGCCTGCCTCCCTGGAATAGCTGACTTGCTTTGGCTGACATTAAAAGAAGAAAACAAACAAACCAAAAAACACAAAATCCAGCCTGAGGCAGACACCTGGCACAGAAAATGCCTTGTCAAATGGTTACAAGTATGAAAAGTTAAAGTAACAGAAAAGAGTTTGTAATAGGAAGCACTGGGCATTCTTAATATTTATATAATATGCACATATAGAGTATTATTGATAATATAATAGTGCCAGTCCAGTGAATGGTGTTGCATCTTTAGCTGTAAGCCAGCAAGGCACCTGGGGACCAAGTGTTTGAAGAGATCGGAGTAAAGTTCCTCCATGCAGCCAGCCCAGGTGAGCGAATTGGGCATCACCTAAAAATACAGGGCTGCAATTTTAAATCTGAGCTCTTGTTCTTTGAATGAAAATTAAAGATCCAACATCTTGGGGACTTCCTCTGCTGCCAGCTCTTTAGATACTCTAGTGTCTTGTGAATTCCGTAAACCTGCATCTCTCTCTGAACYGGGTCCTTGCCTGGGGGAAGAATCTTGGTCATCCTTTTCTTTGCTATTCTTTTTTTTCTTTTTCTTTTTTTTCTCTCTTTTTAACCGTTGCTCTTTCTTTTCCTTTATAAATGTAAATGTTCATCTCATTTAAAGGCAAGCCTCCTTTAGAATTATGATCATTAAAAAGAAAATAAAAAGAAAGATAAAGGAAATTAAAAGAAATTTCTTTTTTCATTATGTTTCTTGAGTCAGCCTCATGTTCCAGAGATTTTGGCTCATCAGATCTCAATATGAGAAAACAGCAACCTCGAATTGCTCCCATTTCACAAAAAAAGATATGTGCTGTATTTCTAGTTTTATAAAACTCTGGGATCTTTTGTAATGAAGCACCTTATGCAAAACAATGCAATTACAAGTTATATTAATTACATTGGAGGATCTTCAAAACAAACAGGAAAAAACCATTAACTGCAATTCTCATTGATGATGAAGAAAACAAAATAACACAACACTCAGATCTACACAAAATCCCCAATGAAGTCTTGTAAAGGTTATTTTTCTGACCTTTTAAAATTTAATTCATTCATTACTATTAACATTTAAAATAACCCATATTTTCTTTCTCCCTTTATAGGGAAGAATACATCTTTTCAACTGGAAAAAGTTTTAAACCCTGATCGCATTTAGCCTTTTTACCTTCAGTTTAAAGACTATTCAAAAAGTTTCTAGCTGTCAGAAGGGGAAAATAAATACACATCTACTGGGGGAGCATGGTAGGAACCACCCAGAGCCCGACAAGATTCACTAATCAGTTGCACCTGTGTCTTGTTAACTGGAGATTGTCAAATCTTTCCAAGGTGCTGAAGTCTGTGAAAGTGATACA